TTTACTTTGTTAAACCAAATATGTTGCCTCAAGACCAAATTTCAATAATTGGTACTTTCAACATTTTTAAGTGACAAAATTCTTAAAATCTTATACACACAACATTTCCTATCATAACTCATAATTATTCATAAAACCATTAAAAAAAGATTTTCTATAAAAGATTATAAAAAAATATATATAATAGATTGTGCATGATGATACCACTTCTCTGAAAAGTAAAGATAAAGAATTATAATTGATGACTTCATTATTTGGCATCTATTAATTAGCTTAGAGTGAGATTATACTTAGAATGAAATTAATAATAACAAAAATTAAAGAGAAAAAATAATAATATAAGGTAAATTACAACCACCATGTAGTATGGTCAAATTACGAAACCCCCTTCTCATATTTGTGTAATCACAACCACCCCTCAACTATAAATCTTCTTATACGTCCATCATTGCGGTTTCAAATTTAGTGGAATCTTCGAGATTATATGGAATATTATCAATTTTGTACCTGTTTTATCCCATTTGAGCTCCACATTTTGAAGCAAGATAATCATAATATGTGTTTTTTTGGTTTGTATATATCAAATTGTGGTGCATCAGAAATTGTATTTTTACACAAAACGAATACAAACTAGAGCACATTCCACGAAATTTAGATGATTATGTTGGGATGGAGGTGTAAGAAAAATCATAGTTAAGGGATATATGTAATTATCCAAACAAGAGGAGTTTTTTTTTCTCGTAAATTGATCATACCTAGGGGCGGTTGTAATTTACCAAAAATATACAATTCAATGAAATCAGTCTAACCAAACTCCTCGATGATACATCAATGGTCCACATTCAACGATATTAGTTTGTTGGACAAATTACGGTCACCTACTGAGGTATCTTCAAATTACTAAAAAACCTCTCATGTTTAGATAATTACAACTATCTTACACGCTCATCTTTACGGTATTAAATTTATTCACTGAATGAGGTTTTTTTTTTAAGATAATACATAGTGAGGGGATGGTTATATTTATCAGAACATGAAGATATTTTCGTAATTTTACCTACCGATGAATGAGGGATTTTTTAGTAATATAACACATAATAAGGGAATAGATGTAATTGTTCAAAAATGAAGGTTTTTTTTGTAATTTCCTCAGATTAGGTAAGAAGTCGCACCCGATTTTACTTTTTCCACAAAAGACAAGGGCAAAAAATGGTCCAAAAGGTACAACCATTCGAAGCGCGCTTTCGTAAAGTACAACCACCTCAATTCACTGTCGGTGGACTAAAGCAGAGCAAGCGTCACTCTCTCTCTCTCTCTCTCTCCTCCCTTCTCTCTCTAGAAAACAATGAGCTTGCTCTGGGCAGCTCCCCTGTCGTATTCTTCTCTCACACGCCAATTTCCATATTCCATTTTATCACAATATAATAACAAAATATAATAATTTAATTTACAGGTACCTACTCATTAACAGCTATACATACACGTATATACTTATATATGTGAATCTCTAGAGAGAGAAGATATAGAGAGAGAGAGAGAGTAGCCGACAGCTAGTGGCTCTACTTCTCACTCTTACCTTTCCTCACATATCTTGACTGCATTTCCGATTTGATCGTTCATTTTGATCTCAATTTTAATCGGCGTTTTGTACGATCTGGTTTGTATTTGGATCTGGTGGTGGATCAATCGAGTGATTGGATGAAAAATTAGAGTTAATTCGGATTGGAGTTGATACGGTGGCGTTTGGATCGTGAGGTGAGTATTACGTTGTCGTTTTAGTGTGTCTGCATTCACTGTGTGCGAAATGCAGTGTGTGTGTGTGTGTCACGGTGATTTTGTTAATTGATTTTTGCTGAGGTTTTTTATTTAATTATAATTAATGGAGTGGAATTTAATGCGGCGTTTGATTATATGAGGAGATTCAAGGGAATTTAGATTTGGTTGACTGCTTGCTTACTAAAACTTAATTGGGAGGATTTGATGTTTTGGGTTTTATTATGGAGTGAAAGAAATACGAGAAATGTGTTGTAATTGAATAATTGATTGTCATCAGGCGTTGATCCTGAGTTTAATTTTAAATCTTTTTTGAGTGTTCATCAATGCATGTGTTTACTGATGTGATTAGTAGATCGGATCTGTGAATTTAGGAAATTGAAGTGACTGGATTTTTGCTTTCCCGGTGGAGTGTGGATATAAATTGAAAAGATTGCATCTTTTTTCAGGAGGGAATTTTAGTAGCTCTGGTGATGTTAAATAATTGAGTGACAGCTTGTACCTAGCTGATTGCGAATCCGTTACTGTCGTTCAAGCTTGGTGACGATGGAATCTGAAGCAGAAAACAAGGTTAGTATTAGAGTGAGGGTCAATAAAGGAGACGTTCCATTGATACTTGAGATATCTTTGAGGAGTTTTTAATTATTTAATCGGGTATTCCGACTATTAATTTAACTAATCATTGTATTGTATTTGCATTTGCTAATCATACCAAATGTCCTTTTCAGCTGCTTAGTGATTCCATTGAACTAAATCTTTGGGATATTGATTTTGTTTTTTCACTAAATTAAATTATTCGATTGCCAGGGGAAGGCCTTGAAGAACATGGGCAGCCAGGTCTGTCAGATCTGTGGTGATAATGTGGGGTTGACTGCTGACGGTGATGCATTTGTTGCCTGTGATGTCTGTGCATTTCCAGTTTGCAGACCGTGCTATGAATACGAGAGGAAGGATGGGAACCAGTCTTGCCCTCAATGCAAAACCAGATACAAGAGACACAAAGGTAAGCACAAGCTAATTCCATATGGAGAAACTATTTGGATGTTCATGGTCTACTACTAGCATGAGACAGTCTAATTTACACTAGTTTGTTCTAGACAATAATGTCAGTTGCAGATTTGGGTAAACGTTTTGAGCTTGTCAGATCTTGTAATAAGTTTAATACTCCCTAACTCAATTATGTGAGATATCAGCACACATCCTTGGGTTTAGCTAGAAGATCCATCACAAGAATCTGGTATTGGAATTTGCGTTGACGTTGAAAACCTGGGGAGAGAGGGGGAAAGGTTTTTTAAAGCGTCGGAAATGTAATGCCTAAACATAGACAAAGCAACAGGGAGAAATCCTAGGCCCTGTTTGGATTGATTTTGTTTTCCTATCATTTGGAAATGGTGGCTGTGATGCAATGATAAAGAAATTTGCATCTGGTGTCAATTATGGAGAGAAAAGTCTATTTTTAAAGTATATTTTGTTATTATATTAATATAATGACTGGAAAATATATCGTTGTTTTGAGAAGTTGATTTTTTTAGGGGGAATAAAATTTCCACAAGACCTTCAATTTATATACCTATTATTGAGTGATCCACTCAGTATTGGATATTTTAGTGACTTGCATCCAAATCTGGTTTCCTAAGAAAAGATTCGACACTTATAAACAGGAAGTCCTGCAATTCATGGTGATGGAGAGCAGGATGGTGTTGCTGATGACGGTGCTGATGATCTCCACTTCTCTGAAAATCAAAGTGACAAGCAGAAGATTTCTGAGCGCATGTTGAGCTGGCATATGAGTTATGGGCGAGGAGAAGGTGCTGGCGCACCAAAGTACGATAAGGAGGTTTCTCATAATCACATTCCTCTGCTTACAAATGGAACAGATGTAAGTTACTATATGCATTTCATTATATTCGATTCACCTGCAGATATTTTTGGAATAATTGGTACACTAAAGTACTAAACTATTTTCCTCTCTGGTTTGCAGGTTTCTGGAGAACTGTCCGCAGCGTCACCTGGACGTCTTTCAATGGCATCTCCTCCTCCTGGTGGAAAACGTAATTTCTAATCCTTTACAAGTGATTTTACTCAGTCACATTCTTTTCTCCTGTTTAGTCGAGTCTCACCTATCTAATATATTCTTTCTTCCATTTGCAGCTAGAATTGTGGATCCAGTGAGGGAGTTTGGATCCCCAGGCCTAGGCAATGTTGCCTGGAAGGAAAGAGTTGATGGCTGGAAGATGAAACAGGAAAAGCCTGTTATTCCAATGACTACTAGCCATCCTCCTTCTGAAAGAGGAGGAGGAGGAGACATTGATGCGAGCACAGATATTCTTGTGGATGATGCTCTGCTGTGAGTCGTAATTTATGTCTAAATTTTTTTTAGCATACAATATTTTTACTGAACAAAAATATTGTCGTTGTCCATGCAAGACTTTATCTTGTTCTTATTTGGCCAAACAAAACTTCGAAATGATGGCGTATACCGCACATCAATTTTCACTATAAAATCGTTGATTTTTGTGCATGTGCAACCATTCTCCGCGCTGCTTACTTTTCTTCTTTCTGTAGGAATGATGAAGCCCGACAGCCTCTGTCAAGGAAGGTGTCTGTTCCATCATCAAGAATTAATCCTTACAGAATGGTTATTGTACTGCGACTAGTGATTCTCTGCATTTTCTTACACTATCGGATAACGAATCCTGTACCCAATGCATTTGCTTTGTGGTTAATTTCTGTGATCTGTGAGATTTGGTTTGCTGTATCCTGGATTTTGGATCAGTTCCCAAAATGGCTTCCCGTAAACCGTGAGACATATCTCGACAGGCTCTCTCTTAGGTGAGAATTTGTCCATGTATATCTTTCTATATACTGCTCTTACTTTTACATGGTTTGCTGTTGAACACCGATGCTACAATGGATGGATAATTAGTACCCCTTGTTTAGCTTCCTAACCTTGCAGTAAATGTCTCCTGCCTTCTGGGTTTTGTCTTTTAATTTTGAAATCATCATAAGCCCTCTTTTTCTCAGGGGTTTCACCTTTTGGTTCTACTTATAGATGAATTCCACTCTGATTTTGGGAAACTAAATTAATATCTGTGCAGATATGATCGTGAAGGAGAGACATCACAGTTAGCTGCTGTTGACATATTTGTCAGTACTGTTGATCCTCTAAAGGAGCCTCCTCTTGTCACAGCCAATACTGTTTTGTCCATTTTAGCAGTAGACTATCCGGTTGACAAGGTGTCGTGCTATGTTTCTGATGATGGTTCTGCAATGTTGTCATTTGAATCTCTATCAGAAACAGCTGAATTTGCAAGAAAATGGGTCCCTTTCTGCAAAAAGTACGCTATTGAGCCACGGGCTCCAGAGTGGTACTTTTCTCAGAAGATTGACTACTTGAAAGATAAAGTTCAGCCATCCTTCGTCAAGGACCGTCGGGCTATGAAGGTGACAATTGTACCATGGAAAAAAAATCTTTTGGTGCTACATATATATTTGTTCAAGTATCTTATGTTTGTTCTCTTGTTTGTCCCCGCAGAGAGAATATGAAGAATTTAAAATTCGTATCAATGCGCTCGTCGCCAAAGCCCAAAAAGTTCCTGACGGAGGTTGGGTTATGCAAGATGGTACTCCATGGCCTGGAAATAATATAAGGGATCATCCAGGAATGATTCAGGTGAACTTAGTTTCAAAGAGTTTAAATTAAAGCTTCTTCAAGTGTCAATGTTCCTTGATATTCATTAAAGCTACCTCGAAATATGTATATACTTACAATTTCTTAAAGTTCCTCTCAAACTCATTATCTTTATTTTCATTATTGCAGGTTTTCTTGGGTCAAAGTGGAGGTCTTGACAGCGAGGGGAATGAGCTGCCACGTCTAGTATATGTTTCTCGTGAAAAGCGTCCAGGGTTCACACATCACAAGAAGGCTGGTGCTATGAATGCACTAGTAAGTGTTCAACGATGCATTTCCATTTATGTTTTAGTCCTGCTAAGAATATTGACATTTTCAAATAAATTTGTTCCGCAGGTTCGTGTGTCAGCTGTTCTTACCAACGGTCCTTTCTTGTTGAATCTCGATTGTGATCATTACATAAACAACAGCAAGGCCCTGCGTGAAGCAATGTGCTTCTTAATGGATCCAAACCTTGGCAAGTATGTGTGCTATGTTCAGTTCCCACAGAGATTTGACGGTATCGATAAGAACGATCGATATGCCAATCGCAACACTGTCTTCTTTGATGTGAGTTCATCTTCAATTGTCTCAAGTGTTTGTGGAGACTATTATAATAAGTGTTCTGCTTAAATAATTAGATATAAGTTCTTTTTTCTTTACGGTATCTAAAACTAATACAAATTTGTTCCTTTCTGACTCACCAGATCAACTTGAGAGGTTTAGATGGCATTCAGGGCCCTGTATACGTGGGCACTGGATGTGTCTTCAACAGAACAGCTTTGTATGGTTACGAACCTCCACACAAACCTAAGAATAAGAAAACTGGATTTTTGTCAACCTGCTTCGGTCGATCGAGTAAGAAAAGTTCTAAATCAAGTAAGAAGGGGTCAGATAAAAAGAAATCTAGCAAGTATGCGGATCCAACTGTTCCCATCTTCAGCTTGGAGGATATAGAAGAGGGTGTCGAAGGTATGCTTCTCATAAAATCAATAACTGAAACGTTTCTCTACAGATGTGGTGATTATCAACTAACCCTCCCCAGTTAGTCTGGAATTGTTTCTTTCATGAAGATTTTACTGTTCGATTGTACTATTTGTCTCGTACGAGGAGATGAAAGTTACCATCAAACTAAAAACATATTTAATTATTATAAAATAATTTCATTGTTATGTTGCTAATATCCATCCTCCTTCGATAATTGGCTCAGGTCCTGGATTCGACGATGAGAAGTCATTGCTAATGTCCGAAATGAGCCTCGAGAAAAGATTCGGACAGTCTGCAGTTTTCGTTGCATCAACCCTAATGGAGAACGGTGGCGTTCCCGAGTCTGCGACACCCGAGACTCTTCTGAAAGAGGCCATTCATGTTATTAGTTGTGGTTATGAAGATAAGTCAGAATGGGGTACTGAGGTAAAGTTGGTTTAGTTATTTTCCATCCGAAATGCTATTAATTCTCCAAAGGTCATTTGTTTTAGGGTAAATTACAACCAACCCCCTGAGGTTTGCTATAGTAACTTTATTTGTGTATTCATTATAATTACCCCCTAGGGCACCAACGACTAAAAAAAAAAGCGTAAAAAATTAGAGTTTTTAATTATTTATAATGAGTCAAAATGTTACATTTACCCCATGACGTATGATATAATAACTTTAAAGTCCTTGTGTTATTCGTAATTACAACCACGCCCTAACATTAAGGTTTCTAACGCTCCAAGTTTCAGGGGGTGTTTGTAATTATCAATACCACATGGATCTTAAAGTTATTATGACATACCTCAGGGGGTTGATTGTAATTTACCTTTTTTTTATTATAATATATTAATACCTTACAAGAGTTTGCCTTAACAAAAAATTACAGATATGAAAGTGTTTTTGATTTTTTTTTTTAATTTAACCTTTTCTAATACGATTTCAACATCCTTGCTCTATTTGCAGATAGGATGGATTTACGGTTCAGTCACAGAAGATATTCTCACAGGGTTTAAGATGCACGCGCGTGGGTGGAGATCGATTTACTGTATGCCGCCTAGAGCAGCCTTCAAGGGATCAGCTCCCATTAATCTTTCCGATCGTTTGAACCAAGTGCTTCGTTGGGCTTTGGGTTCCGTCGAGATTTTATTCAGCAGGCATTGCCCTATATGGTACGGCTATAATGGCAGGCTAAAATGGCTTGAGAGATTCGCTTATGTCAACACCACAATTTACCCAATCACTTCCATTCCTCTTCTCTTCTATTGTACCTTGCCAGCTGTCTGCTTGCTCACCGGAAAGTTCATTATCCCACAGGTACGTGTTTTTCATCCCCAAACTCAACATCTATTTCCCGAAATTTCATAAACAAAAATTAATATATACATATACATTGCGTAATGCAGATTAGTAACCTTGCGAGTATATGGTTTCTGTCCCTCTTTCTCTCCATCTTCGCCACCGGAATACTCGAGATGAGGTGGAGCGGCGTCGGAATAGACGAGTGGTGGAGGAACGAGCAGTTCTGGGTCATCGGTGGTGTCTCCGCCCACTTATTCGCCGTCGTACAAGGTCTCCTCAAAGTTCTTGCCGGAATCGACACCAACTTCACCGTCACATCAAAAGCCTCCGACGAAGACGGGGACTTTGCGGAGCTCTACCTCTTCAAGTGGACCACCCTCCTCATACCGCCCACCACCCTCCTCATAGTCAACATTGTCGGAGTCGTCGCCGGAATATCGTACGCTATCAACAGCGGGTACCAGTCGTGGGGCCCGCTCTTCGGGAAGCTGTTCTTTGCGTTTTGGGTGATTGTGCATCTCTACCCGTTCTTGAAGGGTCTCATGGGGAGGCAGAACCGAACGCCCACGATTGTCGTGGTGTGGTCGATTCTTCTGGCTTCGATTTTTTCGTTGCTTTGGGTGAGGATTGATCCTTTCACCACTAGGGTCACTGGCCCTGATGTTGAACAGTGTGGAATTAACTGTTAGAAGGTTTGTTTGGTAAATTGTGTGCTTGTATCCACTCACATCTTGCCTTTTTTTTTTTTTCTTTATTAAGTTAAGTTTTGTGTAGAGATAAAGAAAGCAAAAAGTCATCTTTTTTTGTGGTTTTATATTTATAAGCTGTCACAAGATTTGTGAGTGGGAATAAGTACCCTTATATTTATGTTCGTGTAAGGAGTTTCCAAAGAATTGTATGTTGAAACTTTTTATGTAATATCTTCCATCCATAAATTTTATGAATTAATTTATTCATTCAAATTGCTTCGATTATTCGATAGAGAACTAGGGTTTTCGTCGGAGTGCAATTGTCGGGCCACTTGTGAAACGTAAACATTGTATCGCGTCTCTGTTATTTGCAAGTAATAATTTCTTAACTTCGCTTAAATAATAATTTCTTCCGGTCCTGCTTCGATGCCAAAGCTACTAAAATATTAATTCGATAAATTTAATATTTCACTAAATTAGAATTTTATTACTTCCAACTGTCTTAATTTATAAAAAAAAATATTTGTAAACTCGAAGAAGACTCTTGAATGTTCTGTTTGATAATAGCATAACAACGAGCATTTTCACACATACAAAATCAAAATAAGTAGCTATAAATGCATGTATATATAAATACACACACAATTAAATATTATCCAATTAAATTTCACATGTTATCTGACCAATAAATAAACCGACTGAAACACAAAATCGGATAACATATGAACATACAAAAAGTCAATTTTGCATTTTGCACACATACGCAATAAAGTAATCTGAGGTATAGCACACGTGGCAACTTCCTATTACAAGTGCATGCAAATGTAATACGTGTCATGTTAATACACATCACCAAAATGTACTTATCATCAACTGTAATACACGTACAGCCATTATATATATACCCCTCTCTCTATATATCCATTATATTTGATCACTATTTACATTAAACTCTTACAAAAAACAAATAAAAAAGAAAAAAAGAAGAAACCCTACTGAAAAAAATGACAGGATATGATGAACCAATTATCTATAGGCTCAATCGTCTTGATAACTCTGTAAGTATATATACATCTCTCTCTCTACTTTCTCTCTCTAGAATTCAAGAACGTGCATGTTTGAGTGTTTATGTGATGAATTTTATCAGATGAAACAATTGCAAGATATAATGAGTTTTGGTGGTGGGGACCACTACTCTCCGAAGAGTTCGTACGCGTCGACGACCTCTAGCGGAACCCTAACGAGCGAAGCCCGCCCGTCGTTCTCGCCGGAAAGTCTAGAGAAGCGGTGCCGCCCCGTCGATGAGGTGTTGATGGAGGTTGAGCAGAAGGGCACCTTGATCCAACGGTTAGTCCATGCCGAAGATCTCATCTTCAAGGTATTTTTTAATATATTCTATTTTCTAAATCATAATTTTTTTCTAAGAAAAATATATCTTATATGCAGTTGAACCTCTATAAAGTAATACACCAGCAAAATTGATATATTAATTTAGTGAAATATTAAATTATTGAGTTAATAATTTAATATATTTTTATCACTGGAAAAAAATATTATATTATTTAAGCGAGGGTGTTAATTTTTCGAGATTCTACTGTATTTGAGGAATTAATTATTATTATTAATAATTATTTTTGGGTGGGGTGTGATCAGATGTGTATGCAACTCGAAGAAGAGTTCGAAGCTGAAAGCAAAGAATTGAAGGAAATATCGGAGAAGAAGTCGCCTTCCCCTTCTAAAAAGGGTTTAAAGCAGTTGGTTAAATCTTGTGTTGGAGGGAAAACGAAGCATAGTAATAAAATTAAGGCCTAATTATTTTTATTTTATTTTGTCAAACTTTTTTTTTTTTTTTTTTTTTGTTATGTTATTGATTTTTGGTGTGCTTTGGATTTCACCTTTTGCTTTTTTTCTTTTTTTTGGAAAGAAATATGTGAAATGTGTAATGCATTGTGACGATTAAATCTAGTAGTGTGATGGGGGAATATAGTTTTTTTTTGTTTTAAATTTAATCAACTTTAGGCATGAGAGTTGGGTGAATAAGAATGGAAACTTTGGAATTATGTCGATTCTGATTCGAATATATTTCGTTCTTGGAGTATTTTTCGCGAAATATTTCATTCTTGGAATATTTTTTGTGGATTTTGATTTTCGCTTTTTCAAATATATTTGTGAGATTGGAATCATGAGTGGCTTTAGCTTATTTTGCATCAGTTAAATGCAGTTATGATGACACGCTTGATTCTTGATTATGGTAGTGCTTATGGAATATTGATGGAATAATTAGAAGAGTGTTGAATTTTTGCTTTTGGTCACTTATGTATATTTGCATGTAAAAAGCATTCATTCTGTTAGCAATAACGGACTGGAATAACTAAAAGTATTTGAGTTTTTGAAATATATGAGATTATATGTGTAATTTGTGGATAACGGAAAATTGACTGAAATAACTAAAAGTATTTTGAGTTTTTGAAATATTGTGAGTATGGGAATTAAATGTGAATTTGATGTAAATTTGAGGGATGAAAATGGTATTTTTCTTGTTTTTAATTCTTTTGGAAATTGGAATTAGCAGTCATTCATTTTCTTTTCTTTTTTAAGATACGAAATTTTTGGAAAAGACTAATTTCTAAACGTTAATATAGTATCTATAGTAAATATGCAATTTTTTTTTTTTTTGCAAAAATGATAGTATATTGTAACATTTATGTAAAAGTGAGGGGTTATTTTATTACGACATTTGAACTTTTTTTATTATGCATAGTATATAGTATTTAATTATTTTTGAAATATCATAATTGATGTGGGTTTCAACAGTTACTAATATTTTAATCATTTGTTAATTGAAACTTGAATATTTAATGAAATCTCATCACTATTGTTTTACATTCAATCGTATATTATTTTTCGAAAAGATATTCTTTTTATATATTGTATTGATCCGAAGTGATATTTACTTTGTTTGGTACATGTATTTTATTTTAGGTTACAATTATTTTTATGGGAAGTTTTTCTCTATTCCAAATTGCATTCTTCCACAAATTTGGAATGTGCGCGTGTTATAAAAACCCATCGGTTCTAGCAAGATCCACGATCGTTTAGTCAAACAACGGTTCTTAATTTGAAGGAACTGAACTTATGGGTGTTCAATCAGGTTCATGATATGTGGGTTTATTTCGAGTTTATGATAGGATCAAACTTTCACGGGTCGAAACCCATTATAATTTTAACGTACGTTTTATATATATATATATATAAGTTTTACCCGAAATTATTTAAAAATTAAAATGAATGATTAAACGTAAAATCTTAAATCGAAATCAACGTGAATACAACAATGATGAATACAAAGACTCAATTGCGAATAAGCGGCGCCATTGGTTTTTAAGCTGCCTGCCTCGTGAAAAAAATTTGCCTCTTTTTT